AATTCTTCCATCGAGATGAAGACTTATTTTTACAACCAGTTCCTTTTTTAACGATAGCATGACCTACCACAAGGCCAGTGGAGGCTGAGTGGCCGGAAGTACAACATCTGCATTTTCAAGGAAAAAGCATTCTACCACATGCATTGATTACCATAGAAAGAAATATTCCATTAAAACACAAGGATATTCAGGAAATAAAGCACTAAGTACTCTTCATATATCAATGTTTTTCCAGCTTGACGGCTTTATAATTTTCTCATGTCCTTTCAGACTAGGTCTCCATTCACATATCCTGTGTCATTGTTTGTTCAGCTATTTTAGTTACTTCATGCCCTAGTAAACAGTAAACACACTGTTAACCTTCCCCTCTCCTCACTATGTGTTTAGACAATGAAACAAAACTACCTGCTGCTGTGTTATTTCCATCTTTGAACCTAACAGTCATTGCGTGCTTCTGGGATAGGCCATTTTCATTTGACTGTAGCTCAATGATACAGACAACTTTCTTTCTCATTTCGTTCTAAATTATGAATCCAGTCAATCATTCACTTGAAAGAGGTTAATTGAAAGTTAATTGATTAACCCCTGTGTGTATATTAACATGCTAGCACGTATGGTATTTTTTCTCAGTGTTAAGTCTGTGGTCCCTGCCTTCAAAGAGCTTACTAGTACCCTTTGCCTATATTGTTTAATTAATATTCTACAATAAAATGATCATCCAAAGAAATTGGTGGTAAATACATTAAAAATAGCATGATTTCTTCATTTCATTGGCTTCCTAATCTCTCTTCTCTTATTAAAATAGATGTTTCCTTAAACTTCAAGGTTTTGGTATCTTGTCCTCTGATAATTAGTTCCTTAATTATATTTTTAATACAAATATTTCTATCTGCTTATTTCCAATATAGCCTATATGACCCCTTCACCTGTATTTCCCCAGACAACTTAATCCCAGGTAGTTTATAACCATATCCACAATCTTCTCAACAAAGTCAGGTCTTTCTATTAATGCTCATCCTGTAATTGGTTGATGATGCCATTTTTTCCTCAAGCATTTATGCTTAAAAAAATATATGTATGGTAATGCCATGCAAGTTTTGTAGTTTAGGATTGGCAGATAAAATACAAGACGGCTAACTAAATTTGAATGTCAGATAAGCAATAGATGATATTTTAGCACAAGTATGCCCCATGAGACATACTGTAATTTTATTTGCTACATCTGGCAACTCTAGGCCAGTGGTTCTCAAACACCAAGGGTACATCAGAACCACTTGGGGGGCTTGTTAAGAAATAGACTGCTGGGCTCCACCCCTTGATTTTCTGCTTCAGTAGCCTGGGTGGGTTCTGATTCTAACAAATTAGAAATCTGTTTGCATTTCTAACAAATCTCCAGTTAATGTTGAGAAGACCAGCACTTCAAGAATTACTGTTCACTGATGAGATTAATTCCTGATTGTTAGTTGTGATTCCCATTCCTGGCTGCATATTAGAACCAAATGATGAGCTTCAAAAAATCTTAATATATGGGTCTTATACAAGATGCTCTACTTTAATTGAACTAGGGTATGGTCCAGGCCTGGGGTTGTTAAAAAGTTTCCAAGGGAGTTTTAACCTATAGCCAGGGTTAACGTGACTAATTATGTATACACTGCATCTGCTGAGTCTCTTCATAACTACAGATAATTCAAACGCTTCTGACTTTTTAAAAATGTTTATTCATTTTTGAGAGAGAGAGCATGAGCAGGGGAAGGGCGGGCGGGGGGGGGGGGCGCAGAGGATCCGAAGAGGGCTCTGCACTAAGAGCAGAGAGCCCATGCAGGGCTCTAACTCACGAACTAAACTGTGAGATCATGACCAGAGCCAAAGTCTGACGCTAAACTGACTGAGCCATCCAGGCTCCCCGCTAACTCACTTTTTGATTCTCATAGCTTCACTTTTTATCTTTTTTTTTTCAACGTTTATTTATTTTTGGGACAGAGAGAGACAGAGTATGAACGGGGGAGGGGCAGAGAGAGAAGGAGACACAGAATCGGAAACAGGCTCCAGGCTCTGAGCCATCAGCCCAGAGCCTGACGCGGGGCTTGAACTCACGGACCGCAAGATGGTGACCTGGCTGAAGTCGGACGCTTAACCGACTGCGCCACCCAGGCGCCCCGTCTTTTTAATTCATCTATTACACAACTGTGCATTAATTATTCTAAGGTATGTCTCTGATTGCATAACTGTCTTTTTAAAACATCTTCAAAATTGATCCTTAACAAATGAATAAATATGCACTTAGTAACTTGGCATTTGAGACATTGCCCAGTCGATTTCTACTCTCCTCACCTGGGAGGAGGTGAGTTCAGGATCTTCCTACGGTACCATCTTGAACTGGAACATTTTGAAAAAACATTTTAAGACTTGCTTCTTCATATAAACTTGATGCCCCTGAGAAAACAAGCTGCCATTGTTTCCTTGTCCCCTCGTCCTCCCAGTATGCCTCCTGCTGCCTGATTAGTGACCTGTTGTCTTCATCCCTCCCTTACAGGTAAATCACTGCACTTCTCTCTTCCCTTTGAACTTTGCTTGCATATCTGGAAGTGCTCTCTTTCCTCAAAAACCTCCTCCTTTCACAATCTTAAAATACTTACTCTAACTTGGAGTATTCACTCATTCGGACCACGCACAATCAATATTTACAGAGCACTCTTTATGTGCACTGGCTACATCAGTGAATGAGGAGTCCCTGCCCCTCTGTAGCTTATGTTCTGTGGTAAAGAAATACAATCAAAAGCTAAATGAGCGTTAGGTGGTGATAACTGGTAAGAAAACAAAACAGGACGGGACTGAAATATGGGGCTAGTGCAGAACTGCTGTGAATGAAGTGGTTTGGTCTAGAGATGCTTCTTTTTTTTTAATTTTTAATGTTTATTCATTTTTGAGAGACAGGGAGAGACAGAGCATGAGGGGAGGAGGGCCAGAGAGAGAGAGGGAGACCCAGAATCCGAAGCAGGCTCCAGGCTCTGAGCTGTCAGCACAGAGCTCCATGTGGGCTATGAGATCATGAACTGAGCCAAAGTCGGACACTTAACCGACTGAGTCACCTAGGTGCCCATGGTCTGGAGATGCTTCTGTCATAAATAACAATTTTAGGCAAGGCCCATGTAAGCGAAGGAATAACCCACACAGCTGTCTAGGAGAAGGCTTCAAGTACCAAATGCTTGAAGGGCGAACACCTGGAGCATCAACAAGGCCACACCACACTTTGGTCTCTTCTAGGTGAAATGCGAAGCCATGGAAGGGCTTTGCAGACAGAAGTGATACAACATGATCTATAGTCTCAAAGAACATCGGGCTGCTCTGTCCAGAATAGAAGGTGGGAGGGAGGATGGGAGTAGGGAGAACAGTTGGGGAGTTAGCATAATGATGAAGGTGTTCAGGAGATAGTAGTATCAGAAAAGAGAACCGTCAAAAGGGAGAGCTCGACTCGGAGGATAGTGGATAGGGGGTGAAACTGTGGAGTTTCAGATGCCAGGTCTGTCGTGAGGGAAAAGTAGGAGTCAGTTGTTTGAATAGTTGTTTGTTTTATTTATTCATTCATGATTAAATGAAAATAAATCTTTTATTGTAGACAAAGAAAATGTTACAGCTACAATAGGCATTCATGTGTCTATACACTTTTACATCACATGTGAGGGCAGAGGTGGATTTTTCTTGAAGCGAATGAGACAAAGCTCCAGACTCCCCCTTCCCCCGAACTTGGCTCTCTGAATGAACTGGGGAGGGATCTAGGAGAGGGGAAAGCCAGGTTGCAGTCAGGAAGCATTTCTGATAAATTGCTTATAGGGAGCTCAGAAAGAAGTAACTAGTATTTTGTTGTGATCTTTTTTCTTATTTATTTATTATTATTATTTTTATTATTATTTTTTTTTTTTTTTTTTGAGATAGAGACAGAGTGTGAGCAGGGGAGGGGCAGAGAGAGAGGGAGACACAGAACCCGAAGCAGGCCCCAGGCTCTGAGCTGTCCTCACAGAGTGCAATGCGGGGCTCAAACCCATGAACAATGAGATCATGACCTGAGCCAAAGTTGGATGCTTAATGGACTGAACCACCCAGGCGCCCCTGTGATTTCTTTTTTATTGTAAATAAATATTCATTTATGTACCTACGTTATCAGCTTTCGCTTTTAATTTTGTATTTTTCTTAAAAGGCTCCACTTATGTAGTAATCTATACATATGTGTGTGTTTAAACAATTAACATAAATCATGTAATCTTCTACATGTTTATTTTATGATTATGACATATCCATGTTGATATGTATATGTAGATCTGCTTAATGCATTTTAATTGTTATATATTGGTATATGATTACACCACAAATTACCCATCTCCTCCTGTGAGAAAATTAGCTTGTTTTAAATTTTTCTGCTACTCAAAATAATGAATATAATAGACATGTTGACCCACTTGCTTGAGTTTCTTTATAGATGCGATTGTATCTTCAAGTTAAAAGACAAAAGTCGGGGCGCCTGGGTGGCTCAGTCGGTTGGGCGTCCGACTTCGGCTCAGGTCATGATCTCACAGTTCGTGAGTTCGAGCCCCGCGTCGGTCTCTGTGCTGACAGCTCAGAGCCTGAGGCCTGCTTCACATTCTGTGTCTCCCTCTCTCCCTGCCCCTTCCCTGCTCATGCTGTGTCTCTCTCTGTCTCAAAAATAAATAAACATTAAAAAAAAAAAACCTCAAAGTGGTTGGATTACTTTACCCTCCCTTTGGCAGTTTAGGAGAGCAGGTGAGCCTGGTTTTAATTGAATTCCCATGATACTAATTGTAGTAAGCAGACTATGGACCCCCGCCCCAGATGTCCACGACCTCAACACCAAAACCCGTGAATATATTAAATTGTGGAGGCCTGCAGGTGCAATTACCATTGTTATCAGCTAACACTGAGTAAAGAGATTAGCCAGGATTATCCAGGTGGACCTCATTTAATCACATGTGTACTTAAAGGTGGACCAGACCGCAGAAGAGAGCTACAGGGATGGTAGCACGAGGAAGCCTTGCGTGGACGTTGCTGGCTCTGAAGGTGGAGGAAGAGGACCTCTGAAAGTTGGAAAAGGTAAGGACAGCCTCCAGAAAGGAATGTATCTGGCTGCCACCTTGATCATGGCCCAGTGGGATCCCGTCAGACTTCTTATAAGGTAGGAAAGTTGTGTTGTTTTTCAGCCACTAAGTTCACAGTAACTTTCAAAAGTATCTATAAGAAACTCATACTAGTGAAGGTAAGCATCTTTTCATACGTTTATTGGACATTCTGTGTTCTCTGTGAATTACCTGTACGTATGCATTGCTCATTCCTCTATCAGAATGTTTGTCTTTTTTTAAGTTGACATCTAGCAATTTTAGAGATACTTGAGAAAGGGACTGTCATGTGCATTGTATTCTGGGGTGCTTTGGAGGGTTCTGTTTTTATTATATAAACAAGACTATTTTTGGGTTTTTAGCAACTGAGAACTTTATAAAACAAAGTTAAGTGGAGTTCCTTTCTTGGTCTTTTAAAAGTTAGTGTAGAAACTTCATCAACCTATGTCTACTAAATCTTAATCACTTTTAAGGAGTGTTTGAATAACATTTAATATTTACGCCTAAACTAAGGTCTTTCAAATATTTTGAAATGCATCTATAAACATACTTAATACAATCGTAAGTACTGCTCTATAAAGTAGTTGCTTGAACTAAGAGATCGACATTTCCAAGTGCTTAAATAATTTATGCTCTGGTGGTGACAAGCATATTCAAATGCCCAGATCTTGCTTTATAAGGCCATTCTCCAATAAAAGAAACCATGGGTCCCTGGAGTAATGGCTGGCCATGCCCTAAGACAAAGAAGACTGGAGACTTTAAGCCAGAAAGTAAGGATATGCTTATTAAAATACATGTGTGCATGTGCACACTCAAGCCAATCGCTGTCAAAGGGGCACAAGATCTAACTGGCCAGTGACCAAAGGGGAATAATATAAATGATCAAATTCATACATAAACAAGGGGAATAGACCAATGCATGCAGAAAATTCCACATGACTTTTGTAGATCTTTCCTTATCAAGGATGTATAGAGCATAACTCCCAAATTCTTCAACGTTTATTTATTTTTGGGACAGAGAGAGACAGAGCATGAACGGGGGAGGGGCAGAGAGAGGGAAACACAGAATCGGAAACAGGCTCCAGGCTCTGAGCCATCAGCCCAGAGCCTGACGCGGGGCTCGAACTCACGGACCGCGAGATCGTGACCTGGTTGAAGTCGGATGCTTAAACGACTGCGCCACCCAGGCGCCCCATAACTCCCAAATTCTTAAGTGGGGGCTGCACATAGTGACTTCTTTCAAAACGTACTATTTGGAGAAGGGGGCAGCAGGGGAGACCTCTACAGAGACCATGATTTTGCAGTGGAGAAACCTGATAAATGCTACCTCAGCCAGGTGATGAAGGTTAACATCAACAGTGATGTCATTTTTATGTCTGTGAAGAGAACAGCCCTTTACCTCTGTGACCTTCCCTGAAACTCCTACTCCTGGTCAAATCATGAGAAAAACATCCGATAAATCCCAATTGAGGGACGTTCAACCAAATACCTAATGGGTAACTGTTCAAACTGTTAAGGTCAATAAAGTGTTTTACCTGGGAAACCATTACAGTCTAAAAGTGCTTAAGGAGCCACGATAACTAAATGTAATCCCTGGATGGGATCCTGGAACATAAAAAGGATGTTAGGTATAAACTAGTGAAACATGAATAAATTATGGACTTTAGTTAATAATGTGTCAATTCTTGGTTTACTTGTTTTGACAAATGTGCCAGATCAATGTAAGGGGTTAACAATACGGCGAAATTGGATGTGGTCTCATGGGTGTTCTCTGTACTGTGTAACTTCCTGTAAATCTAAAGTGACCTAAGAGTTTTTGAAAAACGAGAACATAACTTGTATGCATGTGGTAGATTCACTTTATAGTATGGTGAATCTAAAATTCTTCTAAAAATTTTTAATGTTTATTTTTGAAAGAGTGAGCACAAGTTGAGGAGGGGCAGAGAGAGGGAGACCAGAATCTGAAGCAGGCTCCAGACTCTGAGCTGTCAGCACAGAGCTCAATGCAGGGCTTGAACCTGAGACCATGACCTGAGCTGAAGTCGGATGCTTAACCGACTGAGCCACCCAGGTGCCACAAATTCTCTTTGTTCTAAAAATAAGGTTGAACTTTATTATCTTAAAATTCGAACTCTAACTTCCACTATGAATTTTAAATTGGAATAACACAACTAATATTTATAGGATAAAGCCTCTTAAACTTTAGAAGGATACAAATGACAAAACTTGTATGGACTACACATTAATACTAGGATTCATCTGCCTAATTCTATCTTCCCAGACTTAAAAGATGTGTATGTGCTTAAAAAAGATACCCTGTATTGAGTTGGGGTTTACCATCCATTAATGAAGAAAGAGTTCTTACTGGTAAATGGAGATCATTTTATCCCAGAGATTGTGTTTGGGCAGGAGACTAGGAGCAGTGGAGAACCAAAGGCTCTTTTCCCACTAAATCCTGTTGAGCCCCATTTTTAGTTCCCGTGTCCCACCCATCAACTTGAAGGATGTTGTTTTTACTGATCATATTACCAAACTTCCTATCTACACACAGAAATCTACAACCCCTATACAGGTCAAGCACATTCAAAAGGAAATTATTTGGGGATCAACATCCATAGCGACCTGTTTCCACCTAACAAAGCTGTTTGAAATAGTGGGATCCTAAGATCTATAAATGTCTTTAATGAAAAAGGCCCTTTAAACCTGTTATTCTTAGGGGTTACATAACCCTAAAGAAGCTCCAGTAATGAATTTTTGATAGCTTCTGTGAATTTTTCTGAGGACTACAATTCCTGAGATCCTCCTGATATATATATATATATATATATATATATATATACATACACACACAATGTAGTGTCTTCATTTTTTATCATACAAAAGCTGTATTTTCATGAATTCTTGTTAATATTTTTATGTTGAGATTTCTTTGAATCTGTACCATATGAAAATGTTCTAAACTTTCATGTTTTATTTTATCATGTAGATTCTTAATCTGCCTAAAATGAATTTAATGTGCTGTGTGAGATAGGGATTTAATATTTGCTTCATCTTGGCAGCCAGTTCTCCACAGCACATTTATTGAATAGTCCATTCATTCCTCACTTATTTGCACTGGTATTTCATAAGCACATTGAAGGGCTGGTATTTTTGTGCATTTTATTCCCTGCTGTATCTCTAGTACTTAGAACAATGGATGCCCAATAATTATTTGTTGAAGTATTTTCTATATATATGGAAAATCTATTTTGCCTTTAAAAAATCCTAGCTCTATTCATGCTAATGAGTTCACCGTTTTCTGAATAACATTGGAGTTTCTTTGAGCTTTCATACTACTTCATATATACAAATCTTCAATACTTAATGCCTAAGCCTAACCTTCTTTATGAATTTCATTTAGATCAATCCTGAGTGAAATAATCTCCTCTTCCCCTTCCCACCCTCCTATTTAAGGATTTTTTTTTTTTTTTGTTACTAACTTATCAGCTAGTTAGAAAGTATGTGAAAGTGAAAAGAGCAGTTCCCTTTCCTAAGATTGTATATTATCTGTCAAAGCTTTTAGAATATTTGAGAAAATGAGATAAGGCATGTAGGGTACTTAACAGTGGCTTCCTACAAAGTCACTTATTGAATGTTAATTTTATTTCATTACAAAGATGCTTAGGAACTGATGTTTTTGTATTTGTTAGTCTAATTTATTTGGGGGGTGGCAGGGGGAAAGGAGACTGGCTATGCCCAAGGGAAAGAACCGGGGTTAAGACCCATTCATTGTGATTAGTTTGGGTTTCATCACCTTGTGTGGCAAGATCTGTTACCTTTCTGAATTTGTTTTATCTCTTACATGATAATGTGAAACTTCCAAGGTTATTGTGAAAATTAAAAATATTTATAAAGTCACTACATCATCAGACATTTGGCAAAAGTATTTTCTCCCTGCTCTGTTTGAAGAGACCAAATCATCTTTAACTCCATAACTTAATACTATTCATACATAGATGTTCAAAAATTTTTGATTAGTGATTAAGAAATAAGGAAGACCAAGCATACCAGAAAGAAAGACCATGATTGCTCTGAGTTTGTTTTGTTCCTAACACTGCTATTGTCTGTGTAGAATTTAAGACTCTTTGGGTATTAACAGTGTGATATGTTTGTATATTCAAGTTAATTCTAACTTCCACTTTAGGATAAGTTGGTGTTTATAGTACCTTATTCAGGAATCCACAATTCAGAGGTGGTTAACCAGCATATCCTATGAGGCACCCCAGTCAGATATCAACACCTTCAGAGGTGGTAACTTGGCACTCTTCTATGGAAATTTACACAAGAGAGGCTTATTAGCTTAAGGAGGGTTGGAAATAGTTTTCCATCAGTGAAATTAAGGTGTTAAATATAGGCGGTTGGTTAGGAAATTTGTATATATCCCTGATGGCAATTGCATGAATGAGGTGTAAGAATTTAGCAAACTTGACCGTGAAAGAACATCAGTGCAGCAATTTGGGTCCTGGGAACTAGATCCCTGCCACGTGGGCCTAGGAGAAGATGGACTGGGTCTGCCATCAGAGTTTCCTTGCATCTGCCTCCTGAGAGCCTTTTGAGCCTGCTAACAGGGAGAACTTAGCTATTGAACACATAGTAGTCCTCTCCTTTATTTCCACTTGCTAACAAGCTTTTGCATGGTATAGAGAAGATTTTAATCTCAAACCTAAGCTACTAACCCAGTAGCAAAGTTGTAAGGTAGAGGGATATTGGTTTGCTTTTACTCTAGGAGAGGCTCTCAATATTTAAAGAAACTTTGGTGTTCCTCAGAATTTTTTTTAATTTATTTTTGAGTGTGGGTGAGGGGCAGAGGGAGAAGAAAGAGAGCAAATCTTAAGCAGTCTCCACACTCAGCAGGGAGCCGATGCAGGGGCTCCATCTTATGACTGTGAGATCCGGAGCCAAAATCAAGAGTCAGATGCTTCACTGAGCCACCCAGGA